CAAATTCAAATATAACTTTAACTCACAAAGAGCTAATGCCTAGTCGAAAATATCACTAGGATCTGATCTCAAACAATCTCCTGACAATAAGGACGTGGTACGTGTCCTCTAACCGGCAGTTTTGCCGTCAAATGGCACCGCGAGATAAACGGTTATGACCCGGGGCCCTCTGAACCGAGTGGTTTTGCCACCAAATGGCACCAGGAAATATCGGTTATGGTCAGAGCCAATACGTTCCTTATTAGCATCAAATTCTTGAGATATGAATTAATAGGATATGATGGATATGACACAAAGCCCTCTGTTAGCTAAGGTTGATTCAAATTTGTCCCCTTAGACAAATATCCAACCCAGGTCTACAAGGTTCCCTTGGACGAAGCAACCCATGGTTGCCGACAAGGATCCTTCTATCAGGTTGAGTCGACTACCTCCTCTGACTAAGTAGATCAGGGACCACGATGGCCCGGGACGACGGAATCATGGGATCTTGATTGGGTCCATCATCCATTCACAATCTGCTTTAAGTGCAAGGTGGTGCAATTTCTGATTTTAGATATCAAACCTTTCAACCCTTAAAATTTCCAAACATCTAAACTTTTCAAATCCAAAAACCCATGCTGCTACTATATGCCAGATAACATGTATATTTTATGTATCTGATTAACGAGTAGCCTTAATCGAAAGTTCTCTCTCATTATCGGGAGGGGTAATTAACTATAGGGGCTAGCTTGCGCCTATAGGAAACCAGAACTCAGACCATAAAATCCTCACAAAATGAGGGCGAAATCTCTGGGTAGTGTCTTATCTACAAACTCATATGTCTTCCCAAAATTTACCCTGGAACTTAAATCTGTTAAAACTCCCTTGGCAAAAAAAAAAAAGCAAACGAGCGGGCGGAGGCCGGGGCCGAATTTTCGGAGCCCACATATATAAAAAAAATGTAATGCCATGTTGGTGCCGTACTTGTATCCTATATTTTCAAAAAAATTGTGCCCCTTGTTTGAATCGTGTCGTGTTTGTGTCGCCGTGTTCGTTGACTGCCATCTATGAGTGACTTTGGTTGGGTGGCAGTGGTCATTAGCATTGATTCTTGGTGATGTTGGTTGTTGATGTCCGTCAATAACATTGGCGATCATCGTACCAATTAATGACAACTATGGTTGCCAACATTGGAAGTAAGATGATGGAAGGTGGTACATAAATTTTTCCTCTTATAGCTAGAGAGAAGGTTAGACAACTAGGAAAGGTGGAGAAGTTTGGATATGTGAAATCCTAAATATTGTGTGTTTGGATTCCAAATTGCTACCAAATCTATAGAATTTTTGAACTTCCGAAATTTTATCAACTAAAGGTTCTCCAAAAATGGGCAATAGTCATTCCTATTGATAGCTTTTTGGAAGGGGGTATCTTCGCTAGGTTTTCAAGAATCTTGGACATTATTGAATGGCTCAGAAAGTTGCTTGTGATCAATTTATATTGTTTAGACATTTCAGTGCCTTAATAAACTTAGAATTGAGTGATCTTAGACTTATCATATATTTCTTGTCGAGTTGCTTATTTTAAATATAATCTTGTAAAATTTAGAAGATATTTGACTTCATAAATAACCACAAGAAGATCATTGTTGATTTTTGATGCTTATATTTATTTCATTTGTATCTGCATTCAGGTGTTTTTGGTATCATTGAGTTTTTCTCGATAAACCAAACTATCTTTTTATTTGGACCCAAACTCAACATCCAACGAGAGGGATATAGAAGTTCATCCAGAAAGACTGGCAATTTAACTAATAGTTTGAATTTTTTTTTTCAAATTTTGGCTAATATTTTTTAATTTTATACTTTTTTGTGTCATTATAGGTAGATTTTTTTCATTATAAATTTTACAGATCTATCTCTAAAAATATTTGGTCTAAAACTTTATCATCTTCATTTTAAAAAAATTCATTTTGTGGTTTTTTAATATTAAAATTATGAAGTTTAACAAGGAAAAAGGAGTTTCTAATGGGTTAGTGCGATCAAAAGCGGGATGTTGAAGTTTCAGAAGCAATGACGTTTAATGGACTAGTTGGAGTCTACGGTGACTACTCATTCTTTAAATTGATAGGAGGTTAATCATACTTGAATGTCCCTAATTTTGAAGCATGATGACTTGGGTTATTGATGCTATGTGCTTAGTCTTTTTTTTACATTCCAAGATCGGAATAATATATTTTCTTAACAATCTTTGAGCTTGAATGCCTGTGATTTGATCATAGTTGTCATCACATAAGGGCTCTCCTATAGGGGATAGAGTTTGTTGCATCGGGGTCTCTTCTTGGTTTCTTTTAGAATTCACAAGATTAGGTCTCCAATACTGATAAATTGGGGTTTCCTCTTCGATTGAAGTGATAGGCAACCCTTTGGTGATTGGAGGCTATTTTATGTAATATTGTGTTGCTTATTTGTAGGATATTTAGGCTGTAATGAAGCTTATGTTCATTGTTGGGTTATAGGAGGCTATTTTATGTAATGTTGCATTGCTTATTTCTAGGATATCTAGGTTGTAGTGAAGTTTTGTTCATTGTTGGTTCTATCAAAAGCCTGGACCTTAAGGCACGAATTGCTAGTGTGAGCTAGGACCTTTATGTCGAAGCATAGGTTTGAGGGCGTCCACCCATTGGAGTTTACAAGTTGGTTTAGTAAGCCTAAAGAATGTTAGGAAGCTTGGCCTATTACCCCAGCTTTTATGAAGGATGTCTTAAGTTCATTTAGAATGGTTCAGCTGGTAACGTTGATTTTTCCATTCATTTAATTAAGGGTGGGTGATGACCATGTGTAATTAGATAAGGTCTTGGTTGAAGGAAGTGAAACTTTTATAATGAATTGAGTCTTAGTACTAGTAATAATTTTAGCTAGGAGGTCAAAATGATGCTGCTCTTTCAGATAAACTATTTGGCTTTGGCCTCTATGATTTTATTGAGTGCTTTTGCCTTGATTCCTATATGCTCTTTTTTGTTGTTGTTGGAATGGTTGAGCAATCCCTATATGGGCATTTTTGCAAAGGCTATTTGAATTGATTATGGTGGGCATTAATGGCCTTATTGGCTGTAACTTGGGCCTCAACATAGTGGATGGGGTCAGTATGGGAGTAGATTTTATCTTGTAATAGTGATGGGCATAAAAGACAAGATTGGAGGCTTTCTCAAAGAATTTCTAATTTTTTTTTTTATTTAGGAGAAGTCCTTGATTAACAAGAATTTGAACAACTTGGTTAGAAAATATTAGGAATGACCTTTCTTTATTAGATTTAAATGAGAATTTGACCTTCAATAGGACACAATGGAGAAAAAAGATTCATGTAGCCGACCCCACGTAGTGGGATAAAGGCTTGTTGTTGTTGTTGTTGTAGGAGAAGTCCTTGATAATCATTTCATTTGTGATGAACTGCATGACAAAGAGCATAATGAGTTATGCAAAGGTACTTGTAGTTTGCTAGCTCGGTGCACATTTCATGAGTAATACTTACCATCATTGGCAGTGAGCGAGCAGATTTGCCAGTGAGTGTAAAGAAGGTGTGGGTTGGAGAAGTCAACTTTATGTCCACCTCGTGAGCTCTAGCGATGGACGTTGCCCCTATCACTTTTAGGGGAGAAGACAAGGAAAGCTAAAGGGAACACATAATTTTGAATGAAAATCCACACATTCATAGATAAATAGTCCATAATGTATAGGTGATGCAATATTTTTTATGTGGAAACTTGTATATGGAAAATCTTGAGTGAGATAGTACCATTATGTGTATTGAAGGTTATAATAGTCCACCCTTCTTCATTGCTGGACGAGTTGGGACTACAAATCCTAAACCAAGACAATTGCGGGCTCTTGCCATGAAGTTGGAGAGTATTGTAGGATTTTGGTGTTAACTTCAATTTATTAGATGACTAAGGATGTTGTCTTCAATCGATGGTGTTGGTGGGCATTGGTGGCAAAAAACAAGTGATTATAGGCATTAGGGTTTGGGCAACAACAATCGTTGGAGGATGGATGATAGTTGTACAACATTAGTTGTTGGTTCTAATCTGGTGGTGGCAGTTATCAATGTTAAACAATGGTTATCATCGACCTTGAATGATGATGTTTGAAGTTAGTTGTTGCAAGGTGATTTGCATGATTTTCCTATCCAGAGGGAAGATCAAGCGATCAACAAAGGCAGACAAGTATTGACAGGCAAAATCTCAAAGATGGTATATCGAAGTTGTAAATAATGGTCAAAGCTCTTGAATTCTACAAGTTTGGGAATTCTATCCAACAAAGTTTTCTCTCGAAATGTGTAGGAACTTGGTCCTATTTATTGATTTTTGTATCAGTGTTCTAGTTATTTGTTTAAGAATCCGATACTCCATGGACAACCGGGAAACTTCCCCCTTGAAAATTTAGTATTTTCTTAACATCTTAGTATCTTACTAAATTCAAAATTGAGCGATAATACTCTCAACTATTTCGTCTCATTGAGACATTCTTTTCTACTATAAGTTAAGAATTTAGATGATGTTTAACCCCTCTAATTGCCTTGAGGAGTTTTCATTTATGCTTTTGTGTGTTTAATTAAGTCCATATGGACCTGAATCTAGGCGTTCTTAATATTTTACTTGGCTTGTCTCATCGAAGCACACTACCTTGACTTGAGATTAGTTTAAAATTGAGTTTGGATGATATTGGAGTCAATTTTGAAAATGTATAGTGCAAAATCTTTGATGTTTTAAGATATGTAAATTACGTTGACTTTCATGATTGAATTTTTTATTGGTATATCGATAATCCATTCATTTGATGATCTCTCCTGATTCCAACCGAAAAAAAAAAAACTATTTATTTTATGAATGTTCAACTTAAAAAGCATCTAAAAAACAGCCTCTCGAATCAAATGATAATTTTATGGAAACTGTCATCATATAACTTTGCATGCTACGATGTTCATCATTCACCTATTGATATATTAATCTGTTTATCTTCTTGTAGGATGTGGCAGGGTTTTTTGGGTTCCACACTTTCTTCGGTGGATCTTATATGGTTTTCCTTCTACATGTTCGCAATTGCACCAAACAGCTTAAGAATGTGTCTCATCAGACATCTCCTCTTAGATCCAACCGGCTCAATAATGATTAGGGAATACCTTACCTTGTAAATTTTAATGCAATTTTTTTCAGCTTTCTATGGGAATCATCCTTCTTTTTTTGATAGCTTAGTTATTTTTTATTGTGCTTCCCTTCATAATTGTACATAATCATCAAAATTAAGAACATTCAATATGTGCATATTTTGAAAAATAAACATGGTTGTTGGAAATTGGATTTACTCTGATGTTTGGAAAATGTTTAATTCAAATATAGGCCGTGCATTTCAGTTAGGTAATAAGTGTAATGACTAGCTATATATTAATTATTCGGTAATAAATAGTTAATAATTATTTTATAGGATTTTATAAGTCTTGTGATGCTATGGTTACGCAATTAATGAATTATGCTTTGAATGTCATCTCTCCCAATATTTGGAGTTGTGATTACTCCTAAGTGCTTGTCTTTTCTCCCTCAATTGTTTTTCGAGTTTTAAGCAAGCTCAATGTTTTCTTATTATCAAGTGCTTTTCTCTTCAAATTTTCTAGAAATTTTTGATGTAGTTGGCAACTATTTTATTATTATTGATGGATGGGATCCAATGGCATCATGTTCAAGAATAATTTGGCAATTTGATTTAAATATTAAAATGAGTTTAGGATGAGTAAAAGAAAATTGTAGAGGATCTATTATTTGTGATTATTTTTTTTAATCATTTTATAAAACTCTCTTTTAGAACAAAAATTTTATTTTAAGGTATTTTCGTACCAGAAAGTTGCTTTAAGAAGCAGTAAGAAGTCCGAAATGGTATGAATTATTTGGTGCGGAATCTCAACGTTATTGTGTTCAGATGACAATAGAATTGTGACTCGTGGATAGCCTATGTGGCAACTGCCAGGTTTACGACAAAGGTTAAAAGTGAAAATGCCAGTTGAATTTCACATTTCAAGCGGCTTTTCGACATTCGTCATTTGTTCTCCTCTGAAGAGAAACTTCTCCGACTCTCTTGCATTTTCTGCTTGCAATTTCAGGCATTCTTTGCTTACATTCTCAAAGAAAAGTAAGTTGCTTGCGTGTTTTTTGCTTAAGGTATGCGTATTTTATGCTTATATTATGCATAGTTTATACTCATGCTATGTGTTATTTCTCGCAACTTTTTTAGTGTATTTAATCTTTTATAACTATATAAATATTTGATGCTAGTTATGACCCATCATATTTTTTATATTTAGGGTTTATGCTGAAATCTAAAATCTAAAAAAAAGTAAATAATTGAACTTTTGGATTTTAGAAACAACAAAAAAGTAAATAGATAAATATTTTATGCGTAGGTTCTATGTAGGTTATGAGTATGTTGTGCATTTTTATGGAAATCTTTTGTATTTATTTTATATGTTTTTAACCTTTATTTTTCAGATATATGTTCAACATATTACCTATCGATGCTACGTTTTCACGTTCTGAACAATTTGTGATATTTTTTCTCAGTAAATTTTTCATGAAATCGAGGACAACTTGAAGAGATTAAATATCATATATTTTCTGCAGTTTCTTGAATTTGAGCAAAATATCCCACTTCTTTATGAGTTGGTCTTAAGGTGAAATATTTCAAAACAATGTTTTATTATAAAAGATGTTGTTTTACATTTCATTGTTGTTGAAGTTGCCCTTCTTACTAATTTGCCAAATAAAGATAAAAAAATACATGGCATAGTTTAACACCTATAGTTGTTATATCATTGAAAATTAAGGTAGACATACTGGAGTTGAACAATAATAGTCACCCAGAGATGATGTTAATGATGTTTATTATGTATTTATGTTCAAATTTATTATTTCAACTTAATGACTTTAAAATCCATCGATTGCTTCATAAAATAACAAATAATGTAGATGGTTTTTTGTCCATAAATTGGGTTGGATCGATTAGGAAATTTTTAGTTTAAGAGTTTAATAAGGTCTTCACCATGATTTCAAATAAGAAGTCAGTATGTTACATTAACAGTTTTGTGCCTCTGCTAATTGTGACTGTTAAAATCATTTTAATTTATATTTAATTTTTTTAATTTATTTGCTAAAATTTATTTTGATCTTATGCAGATTTAGTTCATTGAGCACACTTCTATTTATGCTCCTATATATACTGACAGAATGATCTATTTTTATTGAGTCGATGATATTTTATATACTACTAAGACGTCATAATTTTATTTATTAAATTAAAGAAAAGACATATACATCTTACAACATATTTTAATTAATACCTCTATAAAGAATAAGAATTTGCTATCATACAAATTTTTTATATTTTTTTATGTCCTCCAGGGAGTTACTTATGATGAAATTAGTCGGCTAGCATCAAGAAATATTCATCACACACCCCTCCAACCCATTATGAAATAAGTGAATTACCTACCCAAGAACCTCATTATCCTATTCAATACCCCCATCATGCCCAACATACCCCCTACCAATCTCCCCATCATAACCCCCGCCTCCCCAGCAAGCACAACATCAATCTCCTTAGCAATAACCTTTATGTTTTCTACTAAAGTACTAGAATTTCTCCAAGGACAAATAGTCAAATCTTGCCAGGATATCTGCATAAAAATCTTTCTTGAATTTGAAGATAGGATGAGCAAGAAGTTTGATCTAATTGAAAGAGTATAAGTTATTGATGATAAGCTCAATAATTGAATTAGTCACAGAAAGAACCTGATTCCTCCTCATCTTCCCATAAGAAACATAAACATTCCTAAGCCCCAAAAACATTAGATATCCCTCCCTAGACATTCCTCTCGAGATAAATAAGATATCCCTCCTCGAGATGATAAACAAGATTTCCCAACCACCCCAACCACAGAAAAATTTGATATCATCCTAGGAAAACAAGACATCCCTAATGAGCCAGATAATATTATAAAATTTCAAAAGAAACATAAATCAAATATTCCTATAAAGAAAATATCAGATATTCCTATCCCACCCCAAAATGAACCTATCCTAGATCAAAATAAACCTATCCCAGTTGATGACATCGTAATAACTCCTGAACTTGCAAATTAAATAATGAATTATGAAGGGATTGACGAGTTAACTTTTAAGGAAAGAAATTTTATGTATGAATACTTTAAGAAGTTTAATAAGAGGTAAACACTGAAATTTCTATAAACTAATAAAATTATTTAGTTAGTCGTATGTTCTGCGTATGTTGTGTTAAAATACGTATGTTGTGCGTATAGTATGTGTATATTATGCATATTTTGTGCATATTTTATGTCTAATTACTTGTTAAGTAATTTGTCTGATTACTTCTTAATTTATTCTTTTAATATGTTTATTTTTTGGTAGGGACAATAGAGTCTATTAATGTGGGAACATTGTTATTTTTAGAGGTGACATTGATGAATTAATAACAAATAGTTATTTTTCTAATAATCATGTAGATTTCTTCGCCCCTTTTTTAGTGACAAGTGTAAACTTATACCTAACAAGTACCATAACTTTATATTCATATTGCTAGTGTATTAAGTTAGTATTTAGTTTTAATTCCAGTTATAATCTTTGTAGTTGTTTTATTTTAAATTTATTATATTTACTTCTTGCATAATTACAAAGGAAGGGACTCTTTGTCCAAATTGTATATTGATCATATAACTGATGTTGCTATTAAGTCATGCAACATTTTGTTTCAACCAATTATTGAGTCCTCGCGTTGGACCCATCTCTTTGGGTTGTTGAATGAACATATGTGGCAATTTTGTGATTCCTTGCCCAACCGTTCGCATAGATATGTTGTTTTAAAAAGCAAAAGTGTGTGAGATCAACTGTTAAACAAAATTTAAAGAATTATTTTTTGCTATTTATTTTTCAGATTAGAAGCCTATATAGTGACACGTAACAAGCTTTTAATAATGATATCAGAAAATAGAATATTTCTACAATAACTAGTATGCCAATTTAGACCAACTATGTAGATTGTATAATATTTGTTTGTAAATACATGGAAATGATTTGTCTTGAAGGCAGAACCACATGGACTTATAGTAAAAGTTGACAAGAAGAAATGACAAAGTATAGGGCAGAATTCACGCATGAACCTTTTTTATAAATCACTAAGCAAACTTTGATAATTTTTTGTTCATAATTTTTTATATTAGTATCTAATATTATTGTACAGTTTAAATTTATTTTTTGTGCATATTTTTATTAGTCTTAAATAGTCTTAAATTTTTTGTGTGCATAGTTTATGCATAGTTTGTTTTAAAATTCACTGAAGTTATCATTTAAATATGCATACTATACGTAAAGAGTACGTATATCGTATGCAGAGAATATGTATATCGTACATCGAGAATACGCATATCATAGCAAAGAATACACATGTCATATGTAGAGAATACACATTTCGTACGCAAAAAAAATGCATATCGTATGCATAAAATAAAAGAGAACCTATGTACATTCTAACGAAAAAAAATTGTTCAACATAATTTTTTGGGGGATAATTTTGTTAATAAGAGAGTTTAATCAGTCATAAAAAGTTACTTAGAAGTTTACAAAAAAAAATAGAAATAGTCCCTTCTAAAATAATTAAAAGAGAATCTATGTTCATTTTATGGAAAAATGATAACAAAAAAACCTAAGGAAGAGGTCATGTGCCTTATTTTCTTGCAGAGTCATGATCATACAAAACTGAAGTAATGCAGCCTTAAAAAATGAAAGATGTTTTACTTCAGAACTATAAGTCTAAGGCTACTGTTATTTTGTGATTATTTTGAGGACGAGGATTAACTAAATAGATTGCAAAATTGTAAGACTAAAAAAACTAACAACAATCTTAAACTTAGTTCTGAAGTAAAAAATCTTTCAATTTTCTAAGGTTGCATTACCTTTGTTTGCATAATCTTAAGAATTCTAAGCCAACATTTACGCGTTCCCCGCCTTATATTGAATATTAAACTAGAGAAAGCAATAAAAGTAGTCAATAACGGCTCATAAAACTTCAACTAACCCTCCCAATCACATCTGCCTCCTGTAAGTCCATTGATAATTAAAATTATTATACATGCTAGGGCCTCCACATGTTTTTTGTATTTATTTTTAAATTATTCCAAAGTATGCATTAAATACACACAGTACACGCAGTGCGTACGCATAACATATGTAGATAATATGCATTCATTTGGATTAATTAATGAGATTTTTTTGTTACTTAATGTTAATAAATATATGTTTTTAGATTATTTGTAGCTTTT